AAACCGCACGGTACCGAATATTTTTTCCTGTTTGGCAGATTTCCGTTTTAAACAGGTTCTGTTAATACAAAAAAAAATCGCTCCGTTCCGAAGGTTTTTTTCAATTTTAGTACCGGTTTACACAGGTTTTACTGTATAAAAATTTTTGAAGTAGCATGAATTTCTTTTGTAAATTTGATATTTTATTATTTGCAAAACTATTTTGCCATTTCTTGAAAGACGAAGTGTGGATATGGAATATTTTCATTAATAATAATACATTTTTTAGTTTATGCTATTTTGAGGCATTTTAGTTTTTGTTTTATTTCTGGGTATTCTCACACGTTGTTCTTCGAGTGTGAAAAATGATATATTAAGAAAGATCTTTAGTTTAAAATCACTCAACTAAGTGTAAACTGAGATGAATGATGAGAAGTGATATATTATAATCATTTAAGAAGAGATAAAGTTGACAACAGTGATAGCAGAAGAACCATCCATCCATCTGGATACATTTGTTCTCGCTTCTGTGNAAAATAAATTAAATGCATTTAGAACTAATAGCGCTAATATGTAATATAGATCACTATTGACCATTATAATAGTTAAAATAAGTGTATTTTACCTTCTTGCAAGCTGTGACAAGTCATTTTATGTTTGACATGACTTCCACTTACATGGTTTCATTTTGTAAAAATTGTTGCTTGGCATCGACCCAAGAATAGATATAAGAAACTGTTTTTCACAAACGATATTTATTTGTATTATTAATGATAGATTTAATACAAAATTTCTTTCTTTTTGTTCCTTATTTATTCAGTTAACTTTTGTAATAATTTCCCTTCGTACAATTTTCAACTTCAACAATTTGGCTAATGATGTTTACTTTATGGATCCTATGTTGAAAGGCAAATTGTGCTAAGAATGGTATACATCAATGGAATCTAATTATATTTAAACTCACAAATATGAAATTATATATTCAAAATGTAATAAACTAAAACGTGATTTAAGCAATTTACAACTTAAATGGTTTCAGGTATATATATATACAATATTTTTATATAGAATAAAGTACGTAATGTATCTTTCTGAAAAGTATTTGTACCTAAAAAATACATATATATTAACGTATTTTTATATAGANTTAGAATAGATGTTGTTCTCTGATAACACAAGTAGAAAAAATGATTTTGACCCGCCATATATTACAAACTACTTTCAGTATAACATTTAAAAGATGACAGATACACTAACCAAGAATGAAAGTATACATAGTCTACATCTTATATTTCAACTCAGAATGATCTTCAAACATCGTTTTATGAGGAAAGTTACTTAAAATAAATACATGTCATTGTTTGTTTGAATTGTATTAGTTGATAAAAATTATTTATATCTGTAATTTATATTACTTTCTGACATTATTTTTATTCGTAACTCTATCGATTTTGTTTATTTCTACTTATATTTTTGTGGTTCTTTTCTATAATTCACAAATTGAATGGGATTGTTACAGTGTTAAATTGACCAGAGATAACTTCTTCAAACCACTAAAATGAAAATTGTTTATCTATATAATTAAATAGTAAAAAGATAAAAGAAATAGTGATATCTTTTAAAATTTCAATTAAGTTACCTTAAAGATAAATTTAGAATATAAAAAAAAATTAATGCAATTCTTTTTAGAATTTCTTTAAAAATATATAAAAAAAATTTTATACAGTGTCTATATTCGAACTCCATTAAATTCAAGACGTGCTTTTCCTGTATCTATCCAGCAAATAAATGACTTTCTTTGAAAGTTATTATTGTAACCAGTAGCAACTATCTTGATAGAATCAATTGCTGACTAACAATGTCTTGGTTTTTGGGTGAGAAAAACCTTAAGGACTTCATAAGAATGTACATTAAGTTAAGAATGCAACACTCCACAAATTATGCAATTCAAATGCAATTGTGGGATTAGCATATATTTGGATTTTTTGGGTATTTATTAAGCTATATGTATGTATACTTCATACGAGCTAACAAATATTTTTATGCAATATTCCAAACCAATTCTAAAAATTCCTTACGTGCGAGATGACTCCATGTTAAAAATTCAATTTTTTAAACTAGAACAGAATTTATAATATAAATAATACTTCAAATTTCTTGTAATTCCACTTTCGAGTAGTAAGAAGTACATAATTTGAGAATTCATTAGAGAATTCTTTAACTATTTTATGTTGCAAAGATAAATTTACGTTAAAAATTCAATTTTCCAACTAAAAAGTAGTATTTAAAACACGCATATTGTGTAAAATTTGTTATAAACTCCGGTTTTGAATGACATGAAAAGTTAAGATTTACGTAGAATTTCAGAATCGAGGATTAAACGTAGTTATTCAAAATTGAAAAACGAAATTATCCCCGTAATCTTCTTTAAAATCCATTAAAGTATTAAAGAAATACTGTATATCAATATTATGTAACCAATGAAGTTACGCATTGGCCATTTCGTAAGCAAATAGCAACAGAACTGCTTGGGCGTTTTATCGATTTTACAACACAATAATAAAGGTCATGGATGGAATTGATAAACTCTTTGACTTCGAAGTTCTTAATTTCTTATCCCAGAAGTAATCTTCAAAAAAAAATTAAGGAATAAACAATAAAATTAGTGATTTCATTTAGGTTACTTCAAGTGATTCGATTCTAAGATATTATTACTGAACAATAACTTTATTTATAAAATAAAGAAATTTGAGCAGTTTCCTATTTCTATCTAATAAAACTGGAAACGTGATAAAAAGTATTATTTATGAGACATTTTAACACGATATCTACTTTTTAATTTTTTTTTTTTTTAGAAGAAACTCAGGTTGTTGTTAGTCATCTGTCTTCTTTCATCTGACATTTTTCCTTTTTGGATGCACGTGATGGTATTAAAGATCTTCTAAAAATTAATAAGAAAAGTCATAGAATAGATAAAGAAAACTTCATTAAAAATAGAAAGTTGGGAAGAAGGAGGGGAGAAAAAATAGCTGAAAACTAAACTAACGATCATTTGCATCTAATAATACTTTTCGTAATCGATATTATTACAAAGATTTTCTACTAGTAAATTCGATTTTCTTTTTCCAATTTAATAAATTTTTTTGTTTAAGATATAAAAATTTATCTAAAAAATTAATTTAATATGCAATTAGTTGATACTTTCGACTTCTGTTGAGAGAGTTCCAATAAAAGAAAGAATATTTTTATAATTAATTTCACAGAAAAATATTAATAATTGATAATTACATTAAAAACCTAGATCTAAATTTCAATAGAATTTACTTTAAAAAAAATAATAGAATTTAATAAATTCTTTAATGTGAATCTCTTATAATTAGCATAAATTAATAATTGCGAATTTTAAAGGTAACAAGAAAACTTCCAAGATTTTCAAGAATTTATTAATAATTTTTTTAAAAATTCCTATCTCTTAGTTTAGCTAAGAGGAAAAATATGAAGAAAATTGTTTAAATAGAGATATTCATCTGGAAAATGCATTTGAACAATTAACGTGATTAAATATATTTTAGTTACAAAATTAAATTAAATATAATAATAATGAGAAATTTATCTCATTTAATTATTTCAAAATTAGGTGCAAAAGTTTGAAAATTAATTTACGGATCATATCCATGTTCTGATGAAAGGATTAATCCTATGTGCAGTATTAATCCTTCAATACAATCTTATAAAGAATAAATCTATATGTAATGAATTCCTGTGAAGAATTCTATATGTATTATAATGAACGAATCATATCTGCATGTAATTTATTCATATGCAGTAATTTAGATTCATGCATAGAATAGATCTACATCTACTAGAAGGTCGCGCAATAAGGTGTCAACTCCGTGGGGAATCCACGCTAGACACTGATCCAGACTCCATAATTTATCGTGAGTAGAACTAGTCGGGGAATCATTTCCCGTTCTTCCCACTAATCGACCCCATTGTGGATCAGGCCTACCTGTAATAAACGTAAATGTGACCGGTCACATAACCTGTATATGTTAGTGCATTTCCTTTAATAATCAATCAGTCGGAATGAATCGTGATTAAGTGCAATGCTATCATCTGCAAAATGGATCCCGTTTGCTCATAATTTCCATAAAATATACGTAAATTGGATTTAGAAAATGAATTAAGGAATGAGAATCGCATGCAATCCATTATATTGATGCAAAATTCTATTTTAATATAATCGTAGCTTACATAAATCTAGTTATGTTCAAGCGATTATATTCTGAATTATTTAGAATCCATGAGGTATATTAAATCAAATCTCTATTCGGAATATGTGTAATTATATTTAAGCACGATTCCTGCTTGAAATTATGTATTATATGTTAGCAAGATCCGTGCTATAAGTGAAAGAATTTATGCACAAATGATATCTGTTTAAATATATTTTCAATCGCATAATGGATCCCGTTTTAAAATATAATTTTGTATTTAAATATATTTAAATGCAGAATAAATCTTGTTTGAACATAATGCAGCAAAACAGGATCTATTCTTTACACGAATATATCCTGTAAGTTTAATATATGTTCTCTGTTGGAGAAAGTAATTTCGATTTTCTTATAAAAAAACACCTCATTTTTCTTTTTTGATATGTATGGAGTTGGGTTGAAATACTTGGAAAGAAAAAAATTTGGACAAAATATATTTTTAAAGAGGAAGAACAGCGTTAGAGATAAATACGTTTACACGATTCGATAGTGATTTTTTTTTGTTTAAAGAACACCGTTTCGAGATAGAATCTGCAACGTTTGCATTGAAATCATAAAAGACAATTTAAAAGGATTATGAAGGGAGACTCCAGTTGTTCTAGACGCATTAACTTAATGGGACGTCTAGAGAAGATTCTTAAATCTCTTCACATCATAAACGATTTGAAGAAAGATTTACTTTGACTAAGAGATTAAATAATATACGCACTTTAAAATCGAATTGTAAATAGAAAATGATTGACTTACCTAACATTTTTACGACAGCTCTTCTCGATGAAAGATTTTGTCTTCCTGGTCCTGGTCCATTTGTTGTTTCTGGTGAACATTTCCTTCTTCCAGGACCCGACATTCTAAGTCTTAGTCCTATAAATACATACAGTATGGAAATAACGCTGATGGGAAGGACAAAGAATAGAAAAGTTGATATTTCGAAGGCGTGTGGTAAAGGTCTTTTGACATTACAGACGGCTGACTCCCAAATTATTTTACCCTCTTCTGTTTCTCCGTAAACAATACCAAACTGTAAAGCTAGGGGCATAGCGAATACAGCCGCTATCATCCAGATAGCTAGTATCGTTCGAATAGCCCTAGGTAGATGGGACATGGTATGGGCTCTCAAAGGGTGACAGATAGCAACGTATCTTTCGACAGTAAAGGCCGTTATAGTCAAAATTGATGCATTTGTTGAAGTTTCCGAAGTCAAACCACGTATGACACAAACGCTCTCACCAAAAATATAAGGATATCTTACCCATAATTCATATAATTCTTGAGGCAATCCCAAGACTAAAAGGAGTAAATCCGATATGGCCAAACTGAACAGATAATAATTAGTTGCCGTATGCATATATTTGTTTCGAGCTATCACTATACAGGTACACACATTTCCAGTCGTTCCGGTAACAAGAATTACAGCATAAACAACAGTCATCGGTATGACGGTGCTAAGTGGACCCCTCTTAGGGCCCAGTCCATCATCCGAACTTTCGTTACCGTATTTCCATATATCACGTGTCAAGTTGTCGAGTGACATGAATGTAAAATTCAAGTCAACGTTCATCCCTACAAGGAACCATATCCTTCGACTGGGTCCCACATCTAGCCGTCCACTGACTAGCGACTGTACTGTAGTGTGGTGTGGCTGTCCGCTGCTTGCTTTCTGCCGCAATCGATAGCAGAAAGTTAAGCGACGCAACGTTCTCAATGGTTATTCTCTCAGCTGCACAGGAACCAAGTTTAAAGGTCAGCATCGCACTTCCGATATTTTAACACATGTTATTCTCCTATTTATATAATACAACAAGAAGTGCTTTAATATACACTTCATTAATATACCTCCGGTTTTATATCTAAATAGAATATGTTTAATCAAAACACCTTCTATTTTATCGGTAAATTTAGCTATTTTAAAGTAAATTTTATATCAGAAAAATATTCTGTTATAAAAATTATATACAATATAAAATAAAATAAAATATAAAACAAATATTCATATTTTCTTTCTTAAAATAATATTTAAATGTGAATATTTTAAATTTTATTTTATTTTATTTATTTGAAAATTAAAAAGTATTAACATAAGTGCAATTTAATTTACAAAATGTTTTCAAATTTCGTATTTATCACTTTATACACAATTAATACAAATCGTAGTGTTTATTTATAACACGTAACTTAATGTACAAATATTTATTTTTTATTCGTAAAATTACAAATATCTTTTTCTTATTTTTAACAAAGGAACAATACTTAAGATTATTTTCGTTAAAATTTAGCAATAGCCAGTAAAGGAGGAAACATCGAAATTTCAATAGAATTCCTTTGAGGAAAAATGGGTGGAAGCTATCAATTTCTAATGTCACAACGCCGACTGGTGAACAATGTCGGAAATAAGTACCTAACTTTATCAGTTTGCCACTGACCCCAACCACATGAAAGAAAGAATAATCTTAAACCAGACAACAAAAGAGTAACTAGAATGAAAAAATTTAATTTACAATTGATCATTTTAAAAATCAATTATATAAAAAAATATATATATATATTATCTTCGTTATTTCCGTTCATTTCGGCGTGCAACTTTCGTTCGTGCAACTTTCGTTCACAATTTGTTTTATATACGTGTATTGTTTTGATTTTAAAAATATCTTAGGAAAAAAAATCATTTATAGTATGGCATGTAAGAATTTATTGAAATTTCAATAAGATTTTGAGATTTCAATAGAATACTAAGCTGTATTTGATACAGTTAAAGTACAATTTGTGGCGATTTATTCAATTATCTAATGTATATTCGATCTGAGTACGAAATTAATTCATATAAATAACTCCTTATATTAATGTTCTATTCATCTATCATTCAATCAAGTGATGAAAGTAAATTAATTAAGGATTGAAACTCAAAAGAAGAAGAGATCTTGACCAGAAAATCATACCTCTTATAGATGAATGATTATTTTTTATATTATTATTATTACATAACCGGTCATCGAACTAAATTATTGGAGTTTTTTTCAGTTTTATAAATGCACTTTTAATAAGCAAAAGAATCTTCATAACTCATTATCCATAATAAATTAAAGAATTAATCATGCATTATCTATGATTAGAGATTTAAAACTTCGTATCTGATACAGAACTTTTACAGTAGAATCATAAAGATTACATGCTTATATATCATTTGATTAATTTTTAATAAAATTTTAGTGATATTATATAAAAAGAAAGAGGAAAAAATGGAAGAAACTCGAAAAGATCAGTTTCCTCTTCCCATAGATCGAAAATGGTTGGATTTGATATTGATAGGTCTATTTATAGGCGTACTGTATATATTCAATACATATTTACAGTATACTGAATAGAGATATGCCATATATTATAAATAAACTTTTACTTTTATTCAATAACTAATAAAGAAACTAATAAGATTAAAGAGCATCGATTGAAACTAATCTTTTAAAAAGTATTGTATAAAGATCACAGGAAGAGTAATATTGGAAAAGAGGAATCATGTTAACACAAAACAGTTTTCACTTTTATTCCTTCAAATGTGCACTCAGATAAATTAAAATAACAATTATAATTGAAAAATATATTACCGTTATAAAAAGCTATTTGAAAAATTAGTTATATAATAACATTTTTTTTTAAAAATATAGTGATATTTATATTTTTCTAT